CACATAATTGTAAGTTATGTGACTAACTCTAGGAAAGGAAATTCTGGTCTCTAAGGCCTAGGGAAGGAGATTCTCCTTTCTAATGCTTGCTCTGAAAAAAAAAAAAAAAGAAAGATGACAGACAGGAAAGAGGGAAAGTTCAAAGAGAAACTGCTTGTGGGGCCTTCATTTTAGAACATTGTTTTCTGAGCCCCACAACTGTTAACCTATCCCAGTCACTGTCAATTAAAATTATTTGAGCACTTACAAAGGACACTGTGTTAATACTGTCTGTAAACTTATCAGTAATAAAAGTATTCCAGTCCTGATCACAGCTATATTGTGCTTTCCCCAGGGACAAATACTAAGACTTGCACAGTTACTATCTGAATCTGTGGGTGCGTTTATGAATCAAGTTGTAGGACCTCAGCATAAATTATCTGTAATTGTTCCTTCAACTACTACTGCTAGTCAGTATTGCTAGAATGAGAAATAAAAATAGCCCTTTAAATTCTCATTTTAGATAGAGTATAACTGGGCTATGTGTTAGACTTCCTAGTATATCTAAGTCATATGACTCATACAAGGCCTATGAAAGCCGTTGGCCATTACAAAAGAGAAATACACTCTGTCCCACTGAGGTTGAGTCATTCATCCATTCAAAAAATGCTTGATTATCTACTCTGTGCAGGCAGTAGAGTGTACATTCCCGAGAGTGAGAAGAGAATCAAACAGATAAGCCAGGCGGTGGTAATGCAGGGAGGTGAGGAGATGGGGGAGGGGCCTGCAGGTGTCACCCTACAGTTAGGAAAGGTGACAAGGAAAAGTGAGGCAGTCATTTGCCAACCCAAAAGCCTGCCACCAGCGGGGGGCCCTGACAACCAGCACAGGCCCCGTGGCCCGCCTCCTGGAGGGGGCGGGGCGTTGAGGCTGACGTCAGGGCTCTGTGGACTGAGGGCTGCTGGAGGGGGTGGGGCACTTAGCCCCACCTGGCAAGCTGTCACAGGAGTTGTCAAGCGCTGTCAGCTCTCAAGAAGCGATTGGACGGTGGGCAGCTTGGGGGAGGGGCGTGAATGGCGGTTGGAAACCATTAGACCCGTTGGAGTGGGGGAGGGGTGCAGCCTCTGGATAGGCTGCGTGTTGAGGTGGGGGGGGGCGTGCGTGGAGAGAGAGACAGCAGGAGGGGAAAGACGAGCAAGAGGCGACCCCGGAGCAGAGCAGGGCAGGCCCGCGGCGAGGCCCCCAGCGAGGCCTGTGGAGCGGCCCCTCCCAGGGCAGGGCAGGCCTGTGCAGAGTGGAGAGGCCTGCAGGGAAGAGGAGGAAGGAAAAGCCTTCCCTCTGGAGGTTCGGAGCTTCGGAGGTCTGGGGCTGGAGGTCTGTAGTTTGAAGGGTTGAGGCGTAATAACCCGTGGGGGCCCCATAATCCGCGGGGCCCAATAGTCTGCGTGGCCGCGTGGCCTGGCCTGCTGGAGGGGGCGGGGCCCCAAGAGGCGAGCCTCACCGCTCCACCGACCAGGTCACGGGACAGAGCAGGGCTTTGGGAGGCTGACCTCGCCGCCCCGCAGGGCGCCGCCGCGGGAGGGCGGAGCCGTGCCGCCGAAAGGGGCGGGGCATGCCTCCGAAGGAGTGGGGCATGCCGCCGAAAGGGGCGGGGCATGCCACTGGACGGGTGGAGCGTCGAGCCCACACAGTGGGCTCGCAGGAACTGATTGGACAGTGGGCAGCTTGGGGGAGGAGCATGAATGGTGGCTTGAAACCGTTCTTGGGGGAGGGACCCAGCCTATCTGGGTATATATAGGCTGCGTGCTCCAAGGTTCGGGGAGTAGGGGAAAAACCAGAGGCGGGAGGAGCGGTTAGGGAAGGGTTAGGAGAAAACAGGGAGTTAGTACGGAGTTAGCTCGGAGGGAGGGGAGGAGTAGGAGTGGAGGAGAGAGGGCAGGAAGGGAAAGCTGGCGAGAGCAGGGCAGGCCTGTGGAGGACAGGGCAAGCCTCGGGAGGCCATTTGGGGCCTTCCTCCAGAGAGGCCTGTGGAGAGGCCTCCAGGAGCAGGGAAGGGCAGGCCTGTGGAGAGTGGAGAGGCCTGCGGTGGAGGAGGAAGAGAAGGAAGGGAAAAGCCTTCCCTTTGGAGGTTTGGAGGTCTGGGGTTGGAGGTTTGCAGACCCACTAATAAAAGTCGGAGGGTCAGGACTGCCTATTGGAGGCTTGGAGGTTTGGTAGTGGAGGCTGCTCTTGGTTCTGGGATCTAGCCCAGGACAAGATAGTCTCAAGACCCTTTTCTGGTGTACATAGTGTAAATAAACTTCTTTTGTCCACCTTTCACTGTCTGTGCCTTGATGGATTGTCTCGCTCTTGGGAGGTCATAAGTGAGGTTGATGGTTTGCAGACCAACTAATAAAGGTCGGGGCTGCCCACTGGAGGCTTGGAGGTTTGGTGGTTGATGTTGCTCTTGGTTCTGGATATCTAGCCCAGGACAACGTAGTCGCAGGCCACCTTTCTGGTGTAAATGGTGTAAAAAAAAATTTTTTTTTGTCATCTTTAACCATGCCTCGATGGATTGTCTTGCTCTTTGGAGGCCATAATTACAGAGGGACACAGAGATTCACCAGTGTTTGATGCCTAGACAGAAATAGTGGTGTGGAGACTGATAAGCAGTAGGAACTCAGGCTGTTGGCAGAGAGCCAGAACAGAGTGGCTGTTTTGGTTACTTTTAGTGGGGTGATGGAGGAAATAAGCTGAAAATCCAGGTTAGTAAATCAAATGAAATGGATTTCAGAAGAGAACAATGTATTTTAGAGAGACAGACAGACAGAGACAGAGAGACAGACTATATCTTTTTTTTTTTTTAATCAGTCATGGAACTTGAACTCTGGGCCTGGGTGCTGTCCCTCAGCTCTTCAGTTCAAGGCTAATGTTCTACCACTTGAGCTCCAGCGCCACTTTCGGTTTTCTGGTGGTTTATTGGAGATAAGAGTCTCATAGACTTTCTTGCCTGCCCAGGCTGGCTTTGATCCAGGATCCTCAGATTTCAGCCTCCTGAGTAGCTAGGATTACAGGTGTGAGCTACAGATGCCTGGCTGATACACTATCTCTTCAATTTGCCTTTTACAATTGTTATCTGATTTGATGGCAATGCTTTTCTAGAATACAGATTCAAAACTTGAATAAGAAGTAACTATAAACAGGAAGAAACAAGAATGCTATTTGCTATTAATGGCACACAATGGTGAACACTGAAAAAGCAAATGAAGATTAAACAGGAGTACTAAATTTCAAAAATGCAGGCTTTAGGTTTACATAGACCTTTGTACTTAAAAGATAATACTATCTAAGGATGTCATTTTATGGGGGAGTATCTTCTCCACAAGGCACTGATAAAAATTGTATTGGAAGGCTTGAGATTATAGCCAGCCCAAGAAGAGAAACAATTGTAAACAATATTAAACCCTAACAATTGCAACAATATTAACTCTTTCCATCCTCTTCCATTTGAACTAGCAGTCTAAGTACTTCATGGTTTTATATTATGTTATTTATATTATTATGTTGCTTTTTCTAACCACTTCTTCCAAGCAGAAGTACACAAAGCATTCCTAAATCCTAGTCACCCTAAGCAGCTACTTCAATTTGGTTATATTATTCAATTATCAGTTTTCTGGACCACTTGCTTTCCAGTGGGTTTGGCTTTTTTGTTTTGTCGGCCATAAGACTTGCCAGGGCGCTACCCCTGAGCTCTTTTGCTCATGGCTAGCACTCTACCACTTTGAGCCACAGTTCCACTTCCAGTTTTTGTAGATAAGAGTCTCATGTGGACCTTTCTGCCCCCGCTGGCTTCGAACAGCGATCCTCAGATCTCAGCCTCCTGAGTAGCTGGGATTGCAGACATGAGCCACTGGCCTCCAGCTGCCAGTGGGATTTTATTACGGAGATATACGGAAGATCTCCTGAGCCACATTCAACCCCTCTCAGTAAGATTTACAACACTGGATCGACTAGAAGTGAACAAATGACTTACTGTGGGTACCAAATGCATGGGGGTCTTTTGGTACACGCGCCTTTGAGAGAAGCAGGGAAGGATGAGCACCCACCCCTTCCTCCCCTGAGCCCTGGGGGGGGGGGGGGGGGGAACCATAGCTGCTTACTCAGACCTAATAATGTGGTCACTTACAAGGTGTTCCAGTGTTGTGGCACAGAGGTGCTTGATACATTATTGTAGTTCTCAGCACTAGCATACCGGAGTTCATTGCATGTTTGCTAGAGGACTTCATAAAGACCCTGCTTTTTCAGATTCTTGGTATCCCACCGAGGGAAAACTGATAAGGGCCAAGGTTCATGATCAGACACAATGATCAGATTCTTACAAAAGGAAAGGAAATTAGATTATTGCAAGAAGGGGCTGGAGCACAGAGGTAAATCTTGGTGGGTTTCCACAAAGCCGAGACCCACTGGCAGGCTCCCCATCATCTCCCAGCCCGCAGAGGGACCTCGTGCAAAACTTCCACTCCAGGAATCTCCCTAGCCCGCGCGGGAAACAGCTGGGAACAACCCAGACCTTAGTCCGATCCGCCTCCTCTACGGCCCAGAGCCCGCCCCAGTCTGACGTGTCCCGTTCCCCGGGAGCCCCCAGGTCGCCGGCAGCTACCGCTCCCTCCAGCCCTGGCTCAGGCCAGGGAACGGAAGCTGCAGATCCGCCCCGGCCCTCGAGAGGCGGGGTCTCTCGGGGGGTGTGGTCCCGCTGCGGGCGGGGCTTCTGGAGGGGCGGGGCTTGTTGAGAGGGGCGGGGCGGGCAGCCGCTCGCGCCGCGCAGGGTCTGACTGACAGGCGGGTTCCGACCCCCGCCCCGGAGCCCGCCCCCTCCGGAGCTTCCTGACGAGTTTGGACCCCGGCCTGGCGCAGCCCGGCGAAGGGGAGTCGTTCGCTCCCGGTCGGCCGCCGCCAGGGGTGAGGCTGCCGGGAAGGGGCTGGGGGCGCGCGAGGGGCCGAGCATCCCTCTCAGGGACGCGCCGGCCTCCGGCCCCCGCCTCCCCGCCTCCTCCCGACCGGCCGCCCCGCCCCGCCGTGACCTCTGGCCACCGCCGGAGCCCGCCGCGGTAAGTGCGACTTCCTCCCTGGCGCCCGGGGGCGCGGGGCCCGCTGCCGCCCCCACGCGACCCCCCGCCTCGCGTCGCCGCGGGGGCGCCCGGGCTGGGAGCGAGGGGGCCCGCGAGGCGTCCCGACCCGCCGCGGGTAGGCCGGGCCGGGCCTGGGACTCGAACCCGTGGCTGCAGAGCTGCGGCCCGGGCCGCCCCGAGTTTACTGAAAGTTCTCCACGCGGACCGCCGCTGTCGGCCCCCGCGGCTCTCCCGGACTGCCCAACAGCTCACCAGCAGCCGGGTTTTATTTTCCCTCGTGGTTCCTGGCGGGCAGTCACACCTAAGTTTTTACTCTTTGTTCTCAGTAGTGGCCTCCCCCACCCCCACCCCCACCCCCACCCCCAAGGTGGAGAACGAGAAGCGATCGGCGGTGGCTGGCCCACACTTGGATTTAAACATTTGTTTCAGTGCTTGTCTCCGAATCTGAAGCTGGCGGGAAAAAGTTGGCCGTGACAAAGTGTATGAAAGTACTGTGATCGCGGGTCTCATCGGCTCACTGAGTGTTTAAAACTGTTTCAGAGTAACTGACAGATTCACGCCATCCCAAGAACACAAAAGTCTTTCCCCCATCCATCCCCTTTCCCACCCCTCCCCCCAGGATGGTTAATTTCTTAGAAAAGGAATCCTTTCACAGATTATATACCGGCGGAACCCCTTCCAGCTTTCTTTGGAAAGTGAAGTTGCTGTAATTAAGTGCCAAGCAGTTTTACTAGTGCCAAATGAATGTTTATTCTCTTTTCAGGAAACAGTTTAATATTTAATAAATCATCCTCTTAGATGGCAGTTTACTAAGTCTTTTTAGTTATTAGATCACAGGGAGACGGAAGAAAACCTTCTGATTTTAAGCATTTACAGAGTATTGTGAATGTGTGCTTCATTGGCTTGTCATGACTTATGTAAACAATTTTACATAAAGGTGAATTTTACAAAAAGGGCAATACATAAACAATTCTGCCTAAGAACGGTGTTTTCCAGTATTGAGGCTTGAAAGGAGCAATTTCTTGTGGGCCCAAATAAACAGGAGAGGGTATGATATAGTTGACAATATTTTTAAAACATCTCTGTTATAGGGCAAATAATACAACTCAGAATAAGGTCTCTGGAGTCAGATGATCCATCTGTAACCTTCAGAATGACCTGAACTAGTATTTTCCAAACCATGTTCTAAGGAATTATAAAGTAGCTTATTTTTTTTAAATAAGATTCTGAGCTCTGGGACTGGATGGTAGAGCATTTGCCTATTATACACAACACCCTAAATTTGATTATCAGAGCCAACTTCCTTCCCCAAAAAAGTAAGATTCTGAGCTAAGGGCAGGATTAGACACATTTCAATAATTTTTTAACAACAGAATTTCTTGAAGGTTTACAAGGCTAAAATTCGGGTTGATTCTTTCAAAGAATCTATTGTGTGGTGTTTTTCAAATTTAACAGGCTATTTTTCAGGTAGTTCTTCGTATTTCTTACAACTGAGGTTTGATTAGAACCAGAGAGGAAGAATTTGAACTTAGTGAATATGATAAGAATCAAAATGGTGGTAATCTAAAAGCATTTGACAAAGTAGTCTGGAGCTTCTTTCTGTTTTGTTTCAAGGCATTTAATTGTCTTATGAATTGAGTAAATTTAAACAAATAAGAATCCTTAAGGAATTACTTTTAATTATCTTGAATCAGATCACACATGATGGACTTGCCATTTTATCACCAACACTATTTGTACTAATTTACTATCAAATCCTAGATTCTGTTGTCATAAGGGAACTTTGAAGAAAGAGCAAGCAATTTGGAGCAGAAAATCTTTCCTTTTTTTTCTTCTGGAACTGAGACTTGAACTTAGGGTCTGATGCTTTCACTCACAAGTTTGTGTTCTGCCATCTGAGCCATGCCTCTAGCCTGTGGACCCAGAAAATCTGAGAGGTGCTACCCTCATGCACAGGGATGTTTGCAGCAAGTCTATGAGCCTGGCTGAATCAGTTTCCTTAAGATTAGAATGAATATAGCATGCCACTCAGAATAAATATTCAAAATGTACTAAGTTCTGGTAATAGAAAAACCAACTTTCAAATGCAAATGAAATAATATATCAAGAATCATTCATGGTCTAAAATTATTCCCTAGCTGAGTACAGATGGCAAGCGATTGGAGGGCCGGAATAGCTCTTCACCCAAGGAGTTTGCTTCCTGAGTTTCAAATGATAAGTAGTGAGAACTGAAGATGAGGGATAGGTTTTGAATTTTAGTTCTTGTTTCATTATAAGAGTTTATTTGGATAATGTGCAGCAAACACTTCTATACAAAAGTAATTTCTAAATGATGCACTGCTGTGCAAAACATGCTGAATTTCTGAGGGCTAGAGCTCTTCATCCTTATACTATTTATGAGAATTTATGAACGAGATGTTTGCTGACTGTATCAGGCAGGATAGGTTATGCTTTAGAAACAGAAGACATCCCCTTCCCCCCCTTCCCCCAGACTTCCTTCCCTTACTGGCTTTAAACAAAAAGGTTTATTTCTGTCACATTACATATCCAACTAGGCTGTACTCCTAGTAGTCATTTGGAGCCTTAGGCTGTTACAGTCTCAGCACATTCTTCCACAGTTGTTAGGACTGGGGAAAGGATGTGATGACTACTACTTGAAAGTGAAACATTAACTTCTAACACCATTTCATTGGCCAGACAAGTCATAAGACTACAACTAACTTCAGGGAGGTAGGGAAATACAGGAGGAGACCTGGAATAATCTGTGGACAGTACTGTTTTCTTCACTAAGCAGATGTTGTAGTCCTAAGAGTAAACACAAAATCTGAATAAGTCAAATCTAAACTATATTTTTTCAGTACTCTATTTAGAAATAGAAAACAGTAAATCTTTGTGTGTTTGTGTTTAGTTGGAGTTATGCCAATGAGAATTATAAAGGACATCTTAATTTGAAATAAAATGCTATTGGAATGCTACAATTAGATGTACTGTTTTGATCAAATGAATTTCACTCTTTTTTAATCATATGTGTACTCAATAAACATTTGTTAAATATGTATAAGGCACTGTTTTAGTTCCTCTGAGAATAGAGAGATGAATGGAGAGTTTATAATAAAATAGTTTCTAGAATAGAAACTATATAATAATAGAATAGTTTCTATAGAAAATAGCCATAATTTGAGTTCTCTCTTCCTTTCTCAAGGCAAAATTAACAGAATTTTTTTCTTTGATAAAATGGACTCACACATATAAAATATATAATAGATACATACATATAAACCATTGTACTTTGTGTGCCTTTTCCCTTATTTTTGTTCTGAGTATCTCCTGATAAGCTACACAAAACCTCTTCTACTAGCTTAAGTAAAAAGAATGTTTTGCTTGAAGAGCAATTTAGCTTTATATCAGTCCAAAGGCTAAAAGTTCAGCTAGGTCTCAGGCAACTGACATCAGTAACAGAGTTAAGAGTTAGAGCTATTTTGTCTCTTCCAGCTGTATAGGATTCCTTTGCCAGTCACTGTACATATACTCAGTTCATCTGTTTCTCTTCTCTAGTTTCTGTCAGTTTTGCTATCACATAGATACTTTAACCTTAGAGTTCACACAGGGGAAACTAGACTCTTAGCAACTCCAGCAGATCTGAGGTTTCATGAGTGCCTCATCTTTGTCAGCCCCTAAGTTAACCAACATTGAGATTTGAAAATAATGGAGTTGGCCCTGAAGTATAACAAGCTAGGGTAATTGGCAGCTTTATAGTACAGAAAGAGGCAATTCTAATAGCTTGCAATCAAAGAAGGCTGAGATTAAAGAAACCCTAGATGCCATCAAAAGTTCTGCACAATTAACACCAGCTTGCAAGTTTTAGTGGGTCAGACTGATTACAGTGATCAGGATAAGAAGGAGAACTGGAGCTGACTTGTAGCTACTGTACTCCCTCCCCGAACACTGGCAAATGCCATCTCCATTGTAATCAAGCCTTTCATTTACCAGTTCCTCTCCCAAGGTACAGTTGGCTGAATTGTCCAACTCTTCAGTCACCTGCCCCAATCCTGATGCAGCACTCACTGACTTTCCCTCATGGAGAAAGAAGGGAGCACTTAATATGTTCCCTTGCTGTGCTCTGTCTATGATGCAGACTGAGGTTTCCAAGAGACTCTTCATCTAGACCTCTTACACATTTATATGCTGTTGCCATATCTCTTCACCAACTAAATCCATTTTTATTCGCAATAAATTTCCATTCTTTTGTTATCTGTGTGTGCTTGGCTTCTCTAGCAAATTCCCCTGCATTCTTTACCTATGCAATATCTCCTTTCTTCCCAGTTGAAAAATATCCATAGCTTCACCTCAGCAGGCTGAAGGGATGAACTATGGGGAGGTGGTATATGATACCTGGAAGAGGGGATCCCCAGGAAAGTAACAACAGAGGAAGGTGAGTAAATAAAAAGCTGTGTATGAGATCAGCTGGAATCTTTGTCAGAGATACAAGAGAAAAGATCAAACATGGGGAGGGAGCTTGGGTTCAATTTTAGAAGATATGTCTTACATTCTAAAATGTGCTTGTACTCTCATTTCTATAGAAAGGGGTCTTGTAGGTTCAACTAAACTGTTCAGATGCAGAAAACTACCATACCATAGGCTCTTTTCTTTTTTTTTTTTGCCAGTCCTGGAGCTTGAACTCAGGGCCTGGGCACTGACCCTGAGCTTCTTTTGCTCAAGGCTAACATTCTACCACATGAGCCACAGCACCACTTCTGGCTTTTTCTGTCTATGTAGTACTGAGGAATCAAACCTAGGGCTTCATGCATTCTAGGCAAGCACTCTTACCACTAAGCCACATTCCCAGCCACCAAAGGCTTTTTATTCAGCTGAGTATCAGACAAAAAAATCACAGATTACCAACTGGGTAGCATCACTGTTCCTTATCTATGGGAGTGATCTTCACTATAGACTGCCCAAAGCATACCTTCTAGTCAGTG